TGTTGGGAATCAAACTAACCCTTTGGTCTTTTCTTCTTCTCCAGGTTTCTTTTGAGGATGGCCACACAGACAACCACTTACCTCTTCTAGAAAATAATACACATTAGCACCTCCCAAGTGAAGGAGAAAAACTTTCTGCCTGAGACATAAAGCCTTTTTTTTAATAATAAAATATTGTGCAATATATTCAAAGAAAAGAAAATATGAATGAGGAGCAGGAATTACAACTAGAAAAAATAAGAAGCCCCCCCAACTCAAATCCTGTATATGTAGTGTTTGTTACAAATGTCATAGAAGAAATTAAGCAGCAAATCATTGAGTAAGCCCACCTGGAGTATTGCTTTGAAGAGGATCCCTTCTGATACTTTCACAGCACCTGGGCAGTATTGGAATCAGACCTTGCTTCTTGGTGACAAAGAACCGAAGGAAAGAAGTCAAATCACTTCTAAAGAAAAAGGCATTTGATAAGTGCATATGTTTGCGTCTTTTTGTTTTTAAAAGATATGATGTGAGAATAAAATATGTCAAACATACGGAAAAGTAGTCTAGACTTTAAAAAATTGTTATCAGGTTACATTGTTAATGAAGGAGAACAGGGATGGCCCCCATGGGATAGCCATATTAATGTTAAGCCATAATGACACTGCCCTTTGTCCAAGGATTTGGTCTTATGAAGATAACTGCATTTCTTTAAATTCTGGCTGTGGACTTTTATACCTTTTCAAAACCGAGACTACGATGAATTCTCATGGGGACAGGTACATACATAGGTCTCTTAACAGGTAACAGAGGTGTCAGGTACAAATTGTATAGTGGGGACTTAGGAAGAATGATGCCCATTTTTTAAACAGTAGCTAAATTTCCAAATTTGATCATTGTTCTTGCTATGCTGTGGGAGATGGGGTAGGAGGTAAGTAAAAAGACTCACTACTGATGATGAAAATGATCAGTTTGTAAAAACATGGAGGGGAAAAGGAGAATATTTTATACACATTGTGGTGAGTGGGCAGCAGGGTAACTTTAAATGATATGCAAGTGTGAGGCAAATATTTAAGTGAGGCAAGATAATGTTGAGTCTGAGAGTTCATCATATTAAACCATTAAATTCATCGCATTAAGCCATTAAATTGTAAAACCTGATTATGAAAGAGGTATCTGCATTCAGAGTGTCCTGAATGTATTGATTCCATGTTAGATTGCGTTGTTCCAGCTTTCTTACTATTTAAGGCTTGATTCAAAAGCTCACTATATGAATATTGAAAACAGGGAGCTATCTTACAGGTGCCATTAAAAGCTGTATTTGAAATCCGTGCGCCCACACCCATTCTCCTTGTGTATCCTGGAACAATAGTGATAGGGTTTATTTAACTTACTTAGGGAAACGGGGAAACAGAAGACCCGGTAAGGAAGAAGGCCAAGGCGAAACCTAGATTTATAAATGCAGGGCTTTTTTAATTTTTTACATCATTTTTCATTTTTGCACAATGTATGCATTTTCATCTTGGTTATAGTCCCCACACAATTCCCACCCCCCTTGTTTTACCCTAATCCCACCTCTCCTCCCCTCCCCCCGTAGTGTGTCTCTGGTTTATAGTTGCTTGTTGATTCTGATTTTTACTTACACAATGGAATATTACTCAGCAATCCAAAAAGATAAACTTATGCAATTTGCAGCAACATGGATGGAGCTGGAAGGGATCATGCTCAGTGAAATGAGCCAGAAAGAAAAAAATACCGGATGGTCTCACTCATAGCAGGAATTTAGAAAACCTAAATAAGGGACCAGGAAAAAGACTAATTATAATAAAGTAAAAATCAAAATCAACAAGCAACTAAAAATGCAGGTTTTTTAGAAACAAAGATGTCATAGTTTAAAATGTATCTTTTAAAAGCTTTTCTTAAAAACAGTTGAAATAGATAATGTAATGGAGACGAGAAATACTGATAAAACTACTCTGCAGTGAAACGCTTATCTACTGGCATTTGTAGAAAATAACACAAGCCTCATGGCTTATGCCATGTACCTTGAAGTTAACTGATTAATGCAGATGACACACATTGAAAGATTTTTGAATCCAGCAGATTCCAAATAGTGAAAGAGCTTTATCTGTGTATCTTTTCTTTGGGTATTATTCCCAACAAGTTAAACTAGACAGCACATCTCTCAAAAGGAATTTTTATTGGAAGGAATTTAAATTTTAGCTTTTTAAGCCTAAATGTTACATAAATCTGCTTGTCAGAGGTCAGTCAAGTTTTCTTTTTAATGGAAAGAAAAAATATTGATTTCAAATTACATTCAGTTAGGTTTCTAACAGTTAAGTATCTTTAAAGGGATTTTAAAAATTATTTTGGTACTTTCATGTGATTCAAAATTATTCCATGTTTTCCAAACACCTATAGTAGGACTGATCTCTTCCGTTAAAACCAACTAAAAGCATTTTCTTTAAAGCAAAATATTCCTTTGCCATTGATTGGTTCCCATTTCAAACCTCTTGGGTAGTCAGAATTTTGGTGAAGATACTACATTCTGACCAGCCCTCTGGGTGACGTGTAGTCGCCTGCACGTTCAGATCTGTTAGAGACCACATCACCGAGTTCTTTTCCTTTACAGAGAACTCCACTGCCCACTTGCTGTGCAGCTCTGGCTTTTGTGCCAGGGTGTCTTCATCCAGGTTACCCATGTTTATTACTCAGCCTTTTCATCGTACTGGGGTATTAGTAATATCTACATGTATGTATTTCAACCTAAGTATTTTAAATGTTGAGGCTCAAATGTTGTGAAATAGGTTTTAAGAAATTGTGTTTGCATATATTGGTCTAAAAAAATATTTGGGGGAATAAGTCACTGCTGCAGTGTTTATATATTCTGGACTACCTCTTGGAAAAGACAACTCAGAATTACAAAATTCAAGTTCTTAATTTAGGTCATTAATACTAATTTTTTACACACATTTTATAATAGCAAGGACTAAATTTTTATAATTATTTACTAATGTAAACAGTTTACAGTTTTTAATACAAGCAACCTTGGAACTCATGAAGCAATGACTAAAAAGTAATTTTTTAGCAGTATAAGTAGGTGTATTTATGCATTCTATCTTTTTATATCTTGGGTTAGTAATTCAAGTCCCCAAAAATTAAAGTCACATACAATTCCGCTACTTCAAAATTTAAAATACCTTCTTGAACTTGAATTCTATACATATTTTTTATTATTTTAACAAACCTGAGTCTTAGGATACGTATTTAAAAATCTCAACATGGCCTTACGTAAGACTTTCCCTCCCCTTCTGTTGGGAGCTCTAGCAGGCCTTGAGCAAAGGTAAGCAAGCCACATATTTATTGCTGTGTCCCTCCTTTTGAACTACTACTGTGGTGCTGAAATCATTCTGCACTATTTAGTAGCATTTGTTTTCTTAACATAAACTCAGTGTTTCAGTCTTGAGCGTGAGGGCCCCCAAATTAAGTGATAAACCATAAAAGTTTTGTTCTCCAAGTAAGCCTTTTTCTCATAATAAAGCCGCCTTTTCTCACAGGAAAACTACAGCAACATTTAAATTTTACTTAGTTTCATCTACTTTTTCCTGTACATGGAGCTAAATTACTGTGTGAGACTGGATTTATCTCACACTTTCGTATTTTAAATGTGTGATAAAAATTGAACATAAGCCAATCACCAGAGCTGAATATGAGATTTTATGCGAAACATTTAGTTTTGTTGTATCACCTCCAAATTATTTTTAATATTTACCAAAAGGAATTGGATTAACAGCTCTTCCAAATATAACTCATCTATGCTATTTTGTGTAATTCAGGGTAAAACTGAGAATGTGTGAGGAAAAGTATAAATGAAAGCTACATAACTAAGAAGTAGACTTTTAACAACAATTGATGTAACTATAAAACATATACCTTGTAAATTCTGTTAGGTAATTTTGCAAATCAATTTAGTGATTTCTTGTACTGTAATTTCTTTTGAGTGTTTTTTAGAAATGACTAGAGTTGCCTGCCTCACCTCTCCCCACATATTTATAGTTGCAGTTTGGAATCATTATTTCAAATAAAGTAAGGCCACACTTTGAATGTTGATTTGTGTGTTGGAAGAACTGATTCTAGCTATTGACGCATTTTTAGTTAAATGAGTAATTCTTTGCCATAATAGAGTATATTTCACAGGGCACTACTGTCTCAAGCCACTTACATCTTAAAACTTAATCTAGGCAGTGAGCATTTCTCCATACCTTCCTTTGGGCAGATAGGCAGTGCTTATATTCCCAGAACATAATTAGACTTGCTGTTCCAGAAAAATAGCTGTGTGGAAATACACCTAATTCCTGTGACCTTCAAAAATTATTTTTACAAACTTCAGGTTGACCTTTGTGTCTTCATTGTGAAGTGATGCTCTTTTGGGGTATTAACACCTTCTAAGATCAGTCTGTTTACCTTGAGGTTTCAATCAGTTATTGAAATGAGGTGCTACCTAGAGAGAATGATGTTTGGTTAGTATAAAATTAGATGTTTTTCCTATCAGTGTACCCATCTAGTTTAACTTTTTCTAGTAATAACTGCCCCTGGTGGGACTGTCTTCGATACTGTATCTGCCTGTCTGGTGGGTGCAGAACTGACAGGTTACCAGAACTTCCCTTTAGACACATTTTCTTTGAATTTTTCCCCCACCAAAGTAAAAGTTTCTTTTCCTTGAATTGTATGTATCAGGTATTCATTGGTCTTGATATAGGAATTTTCTTTCCTACAGATACCGACTTTTATTGCTTAACAGCACAAGAAAACTCATTTCTTTAATGCCATAGAGAACACGCTTTAGTGTGTCAATGTGATCCTACTAAGAGCATCAGAAAAAGCATGTATCATATGTTAATTTACATTCCTCTCATGGTATCTTTGGAAGGTTACATGCATAACTCAGCAGTTAAACACAGATACAACACTTGGAGAAAAAGCATTTTTTAATTCAAATTTGTGTTTAATCAAAAGTCAAAATGTGAACACTTGATCAGTGGAATTTATTGAATGACTGAAACACAATAATCAAATACAATTCAATACAGTGCGCTGAATTGTACGCATACAATAATGAAAAGAGTACATTCTTAGAATTATATTTTACCCATTTTCATTTAATTGTATTTTGTTTTCATAGTTGTAATATTTTAATCAGTGTAACTTACAAGTATTATGTAGACATTGCAAACTAAAGATCACCCAGGGCTTTGTTACACAGCTGGGCTAGCTGTCCTGGAAAGTCGTTTTCAGAATTTGGATGAGATTGAGAAAGACACTGCCCGGTAGTGTTCTTTCAAAAATGCCCTTAATGAGTTTAGAAAAATCTCAAGTAATAACTAGGCTAGAAACTTCTCTCAAGGCCTGTACATTTCAAGTATCCAAATGTACCTGTCTGAGTACTGTTATTCCAGAAAGTGAGCATAAATATAATGACCATTAATATGCTTGTAATTTTCTAATAGTTGTGTTATTTTTCGTTGCTTAGGCTTCAGGTAGTGTGTTTGGAAATTTTGTTGTAACATGAACTGGTGAAATCCTACATGCACCGATCTTAAATGTGAGGAAAGTTGGGGAAATATTAATATAGGAACTTGAGAATAAATATTTATTTTACTAATTCATTTCCATTATACAGAAAATACTTTTGAACAAATGAAACAACACCTATTCTTTAGCTTAGTCACTTAAGTGTCTTTTGCTCTACATTGTACTATTTACATTGTGCGGTTGGAATGACATAGTAACATATTTTGGTGATCACAGAAGAATAATCTTCCTCACTTTATACAAAAAGACTAAAGCTAGTATTTTCTTTTCTTTTTTTTTGGTGGATTTCTTTTTTTCTCACAGCAAAGCCAGAGGACTGGGTTTTGTATGATTATAGCCTTTACCTTTCTCTCCCATTAATCACTGTAATCGAGGACTGAACAAAATGAGGAAACAAGCAGGAAACTTGAGAGAAGGGTAACTGTGGAGTCAAAAGATTTAGAAATGATAGTTGTCAATAGGCTAGAGTTCCAATGCAAATATGTGTGGGTCTTTCTCCTATATATAATTATTTACACCTCTTGGTTCTTTTTGGGTTTCAAGTTGGGTATCCTTAAGCGTAATGTTGAATGTGAACCCACTTTGCTAATTCTGCACCCCTCAACCAGGACTCCATGGTGTAACACAGAATTGAAGCTGAGACTTTTCAGGGAAGAATTACATTTCTGATGGCAATTCTAAGGTCATTCTTCCTCGGTTTTGATTTTAAATCTTTACGCTGGATATCACAGAAGGGCTCCCAGATCAGAACTGCCATTCCTTAGCTTATGCAATGTGTTCTTCCAGGTTTATTGTGTCGAAATTAATGCTGTGCAGGAGGAAAGAAAAGATGACCACAGAAAGGGGGTGTACGTTGCTATTTTATATGAAAGGGAAGAATAATTTTTCCAAAATTGTGCATGATTATATGCTAGGTTACAACTTTCTTTTTCTCAATGAAAGTAAAAGGGATGACCACATGGCAGCATGTTGGCCAGGCGAGGAGCTGGGGCATGTTCTTGATTATTCCTAATCTTGAGAACTGAAGTTTGCTGTTTTAGAGGTATCTGAGAGGTTCCGGACGAAAGCAGACTGTAGAATGTTTATGCTTTGAATGTGATGGATGCCTTAAAGTAGGAGAGGAATTTGTAACAGAAGCTTACAATGAAGAGCCAGACATTCCGAGCCATCTGAGATCTTGCGATGAGAAGGCGCCAGGTGATGAGGAAGAGCACAGTGTTAAAGAAGTAGCGGATATTTCGTAGCCTGGGAAACACACAAAACCAGAGTTAAAACAGAACTGAAAAACGACTATGTTAACTGAAGTGCAAATGCAATGTTTCGTGCGCGCTGCCAGGGTGCGTGTGGCGTGTGATCTTTGGTCTTTTTGCATTGCTGCAGTTATGCTGAATGAGCAGATGCCTGTAATGTAATCTCACCTCATTTCTCATACTTCTCTCTATTCTTAAATATACTTTTTTTTAAATTTTTTTTTATATATATTTTTTTAATAGAGGCATGTTTTTATTTATTTATTTAATTTGCTTTGTTTTGTTGGTTTGTTATACATGCACTGGGTACAGTCAGAAGCGCAGGAGGGTGAGAGAATTCACCAGAGCCAGAGCGGGGAGCAGAGCAGGCAGAAGGACCGAAGTACACTGCTGAGGGGAGCAGCGGGCGGCAGGAGAGGTCTGCACGCCATGTGGGACCCTCCTCCAGTGGCTGGGGAGCAGCCGGGGATCGAACCGGCGCCACAGAGGCTGCGGGCAGATTCGTAGCCCAGCGCTCAACCGCTGCACCACCAGGGAGGCCCTATTCTTAAATATACTTAGATCGTATTACTACATCACAGATCTTCAGTGGTGCTTGTTTACTACTAATGTTCTCAGTCTCCTACTCAAGGTTCCTCTGTTTGCAATCTATTTTTCCATCTTAATCATCTCTGCATTAGAAATCTTTTGCTTCTACCAGAATTCTAGCAGAATAATAGCAGACTGCTATAATTTTGTCCTTACAGACTCATGATGGAAAGGAATGTAAGGCAGCTGAAGACTTTAGGAGTGGTTAGCTGACTGGCCCATGTTCAGTAGGACCATTGGTTTCCCTCTAAATAACGTTATGAGGGGGAAGTGTAGGAAACAGAAATGAGTTCAAAGCTGGCTCCTGTACTTACCAAGTTACCATGGACAGGTTTCTTAGCCCCTTTCTACCTAAATATCTCTGATAAAAATGGGATAAAATACTACTAGCCACACAGGGCTTGGTGAAGACTGAATGACACAGTGCACATTATAGGATATAGTATCCATAGCAGAGGACCTGTAATACAGTGGCTGCTTAAAAATACCCATCTAGGGCCTCCCCTGGTAGCGCAGCGGTTGAGTGCTGGGCCGTGAAGCTGCCCGCAGCCTCTGCAGCACTGGTTTAATCCCCGACCTCTGGCTAGAGCCCCACATAGAGTGATAGACCTCTCCTGCCACGCCCGCTGCTCCCCTCAGCAGTGTATTTTGTCAGTCTGCCTGTTCTGTTCCCCACTCTGGCTCTGGTGGATTCTCTCACCTTCCCGTGCTTCTGACTATACCCAGTGCTTGTATAAATAAATAAATCTTTAAAAAAAAATACCCATCTACCCCTCATTCAAATTTGTCTGTATAAAATCAGATGCACATAATAAATACTAACTGGCTGATCATGCTTACTTTTTTAATTGTTGTCTTGCTTTTGGGATACCAGACATATCTTCTTTCAGTAAGTACTTCTTAATTCCTATCACATAATTTTCAATGTAGTCCAGCCAGTTCAACTGGCGTATATCAAAGTTGAATACCTGAAAGGCAAGAAGAGATGATGGATTTTCAGAATTGCACTGCTAACAGTGACTTTGTCCACTTGACTTACAAACATGAGGTGCCATTTGGAACACTTAGGGGTCCTGTCTAAGGGGGTATCTTGAGTTGCTATTTCAAAGACATGGGATGGATTACTATTTATACAGCAAAATTTAAACATCAAGCACAAATTGTTGGCCTTCAGGAAATTGAGAAAAATATAGGGGAACTGGTATGCCTGGTGAAAGCTAATTTCATTTCAAGTAAATGAGGACTTTTAAAAAGTGATGGAATAATATACTGGGGACCAAAACACATTATGCATCTTTTCCATTCTTAAATTTTAGTGTTTTACTATGCAGATTAAACTTTGGGAAGCAAAGGTTTAAGGAGTAGTTTAGCAGAATTTATGTTTATGTTTGCTTCAGAGATGTTTTCCACTATGTCTCTCAGTGAGCCATTATATGAAGTTCTTTTAGGAGTTAAGCAGAAGGAAAATCTGCTGCTTGTTGAATAATATGTATGTCCTCTTTCTGGACAGTGAGTGTCCTTTGCCACCAGAAGCTCAAGAACTGATTCTACCTAATTGCAGTGACTAATAGTCTTTTCTAGACTATATGGATATTCTATTTTTTCTTATCCTTTATATTTTAATTCATATTTTCCCTGGCTGTATGTTTTATTTCTATTATTGTTACATGTGTTTATTGCAAGATACCTCAAATTTGGGGGAGATAATTTGGAGTAATTCAAAAAGAGCAGATGAGATTAACACATTCCTAGAAGCTTTATAAACAGCTGAATTGCTTTCCAAAAAGTATCACTAAATAATTACATAAATAGTACCCTATTTTTATACTGTTTCATACTTATACATTAGATTTCAGTGAGACCCTTGTTTGGAATCCTGATTCCATTGGGTGAATCAGATTGAATTCTGAACCACACCAGTTTGGCTAGTAAATGCAAATATTCATGACTACTACCTTTGTTAAGATTTTTTTAAAGTATATATTAACTCTATTGCAAGTTTGGTTCTTTATCCCAAAAGGTAAAGATAAGAATCCTATATAAAACTTGAAGCCAGGTTTTTAAAAACATGTTTGATCATCTCAAACATAGTGCTTAAGTGAATTTTACCTATACAAGGCATATAAATGTGACTGACATATCTCCACTTCAGTTTTACAGGTACTCAACCATAATTTCAGTTACAAGTAACCACTAGATTCCATGATAAAGTAAATCTAGAACTTGGGTTTGAATCATGTTTTTTTGAGGCTTATAGGTGAAAACAAAATCTTTAGCACGTGAAGGTAGCACAAAAAGGAACTAAATGAAGTTATCACACTCCCTGACTTCAAACTATGCCACAAAGCTATAGAAATCCAAAACAGTATAGTATTGGACTAAAAGTATACATGTAGATCAGTGGAACAGGATTGAGCCCTAGAAATAAAGCCACATATATTTGGACAACTAATTTAGAACAAAGAAACCAAGAGCATACAATGAAAAAATATCAAAAGACTTTTAATAAATGGTCTTGGGGAAACTGAGCAACTAAAATTTAAAAGACTGGAACTCAACTTTCTAACACGATATAAGAAATTAATTCAAAATGAATCACACTTGACTATAAGGCCTGAAAACATGAAGTACACGGAAGAAAACTAACTCTTTGACATTGGTCTTAGCTGATTTTGTGATTTGTCTTCAATGGCATGAGAAACAATAGCAAAAATAACCAAATGGAATAACAAATGGAATAATAAAAAAGCACAAAAGAAACTATCCTACTGAATGAAAGGAATTATTGCAAATCATATCTAATAAGATTTACAAAATATACAATTCAACAGCAAAAACAATCACCCTGATTAAAACATTGACAGAGGATCTAAATACTTCACCAAAGAAGATACACAGATGGTCTACAGACACATGAGAAGATGTTCATCACCTCACAACAGGGTAATGCAAATCAAAACCACAATGAGGCAGCACCTCACACACATTAGAATTATTATCAAGAAACAAGTGTTGATAAGGGTGTGGAAGAGAGGGAAAGCTTGTGCACTGTTGGTAAGAATATGTGTAGCCACTATAGAAAACAGCATGGGGATTTCTCAAAAATTAATGGTGGATGTATCATATCATCCAGTTACTCCACTTCTGGGTAGCTAAAGAATAAGAAAATATGAATTTGAGAAGGCAACTGCACCTCAGTGTTCACTGCAGCATTGTTTCAATAGCCAAGATGAAGGAACACCAAGTGTTCATTGATAGATGGTTGGATAAAGATGATGTGGTATATATATAGTGGGATACTCAACTTCAATAAAAGATGAAATTTTGCCATTTTTAACAACATGAATGGACCTTGAGGAAATTCTGCTTAGTGAATTAAGTCAGAAAAATACAAATACAATATGATTTTACACGTATTTTGACTATAGAGAATGAAAGCAAGTGAACAAACAACAAATCCTTAGATTCTGACATTGGAATGGGTGGTGACCAGAGGGGACATGGGCAGGGGTGGACTGATTGGGTAGAGGGATCAACTGCATGGTGGTGATGAACAGAATCCAGACTTGATGGGAATCAACATAGCACATACAGAGCTGCACATCTGAACTCAAACTTATAAACCAATGTTATGTCAATATAAAAATAGTAATTTATTTTACTAACAAAATTGAATTAAATTGAATTAAATTCTTCCTCCAAATTTAATATAAATAATGCCATCAGTTTATTCAGTAAAATATCTCTCCATTAAAAAGAACATAACTGTAGGGCCTCCCTGGTGGCGCTGCAGGTTGAGCTCAGCACTGTGAAGCTGTCCTCAGTCTTTACAGCATAGGTTCAATTCCTAGCCAGCCAGGGAGATACCCACATGACATGGCAGACCTCTCCTGTCTTGCCTGCTGCTCCCCTCAGCAGTGCTTTCAGCCCATCTCCCTGTTCTTCTCCCCACTCTGTCTCTGGTGAATCCTCTCACCCTCCTGCACCTCTGGCCTTTACCCCAGCTCTTGTAAGAATAAACAAATCTTTAAAAAAAAAAAAAAAGAACATAACTGTAGCTTTGCAGATAAAAGATGATTTTGATTTGACCATGAAAGTGAGTGAGTTTGTGAACAATAAAGTTATTTTCACTTAAATTAGATGCAGTGGAGGTTAGAGGAAAGACAGGCCCTGAGGGCTTACTGGTACCAACACCTGCCGAGAGTGAGCACAGGGTTGAGGATGTGAACACGGCTGCGGGGGCCCACGATCCTTGGTTCTTGCCTACATGACACTCATTTGGGACAACTGTGTTGACCAACTTTCTTAACAAAAGAAAGGAAATTCTGTAAATATGTTTCCTTTGCTCATCAGCCTTGCAGGTCAGGTAGTGAAGGCCAAGAGGGCGCAGCTGGGGGCTGTGAGTGCTGCCCTTACCCTCTGGTCTTCCGGACTGAGCTCCAGCATTAGCATGTCTGTGTTGGAGGTGCTCCATTCCCAGCTGTGGTTGATGAAATACTCCAACATGGACGTGGTCCTTAAGAGGCGATTCATGAGCTTTGTGAACCTGAGGTGAAGACCAGACAGGAGCAAATGTCAGCACACCCCACGTGAAGACTTCCCCCTACTCTATAGGGACTATGACCAATGATTTTTGTGAATTTATAAAAATTATCCATCCTCCACCCCCATTTTCTCCTTAAGCGTCATTTCCTTTCCATACTGTTAAATGAAGGAAAGGGGATGAACTGAAAGAAGCTTATTCTATCAGGAATTTTAATATCAACTCCCTTTCCTCTTTTCTTCATCTCTTTTTCAAGAATAAGCCAAAATAAAATAAAAAAAAATAACCTGAGCAAAATAACTACCCTGCCTGACAACATACTGTTGTTTGTTGAATTCTGAAATCAGCAATTAGAAAAATGGTTCCTCCTCTTTATGGAATTTTCTTGGGACTTAAAAAAATACATATTGATTTGAGGTCCTAGCAGAGGTATTGACTGCATTCGTGACCTAAAAGCAGTTGTCAAGTGAAATACAGATTTAAGAGGCAATAACTTCTTTGTTCATACCCTATGCTGCTGGACACAGAGCTGATGGTTGAAAAGACATCTCTCTAAATTCTCATAATGTTTCAGGTAGGTATCTTACCTGCATTCTTATGAATGGGTAAGTGATCTTAAGATGAAGTAGCCACCATGGTAAGTGTCAAAGCCAAAATTCCAACCCGGTTTGACCTACCTGACAAAGCCCCTGCTTTCGTAATGTCACCACCCATGACCATTGCTTAAGATGGGCCACATCTGATCTGTGGTCAGGCTTCAGACCAACTGCTATGTCACCGTCTCAACTTTTAACAATTTACAAAGACTTTAGCATCTCATCTTATTCAGTACTTGAACAGGACTCTGAAGTAATCAGGCTTTGTGTTTATCTTCATCTTACAAGAGGATTAATAGCTCATGTTTGCACCTAGGTCTTCAGGCTGTCTTCAGGCTTCCTCTGGCTTACAGATTTTTATTGTAACCCTATAGGCCAAGCTTGATGGAGGGTTCAGTAATGACCCAGGAATGACTCATGCAATTTTGGGAATTTGGTCTTATTTCTGGTCAAATTCTAATGCTCATATACCTAATAACTTGTGAGGTATTTCTCTCTTTGTCTCATGGGAAATTCTTAGATAGGAGGTAAAATTGAAAATAAGCATCATAATAGGGTTCCATTTAGTTACTATCATTTGACATCTACTGTCGATGAGTATTTGTCCACTTCCAACTCATGTGTTTAAACCTAATCCCCTCAATTTGACAGTATTTGGAGGAGGAGATTTTGACAGTGATTAGTGCCCTTATAAAAGAGATCTCATGTGTACAATTGGGACAAGAACATCGTCCTGGGTTGTGAAAGTGAAAAGGAGCCGTTACACACCATCCCACCAGTTAGGTGTGGTGACATTACTATACATTCTAAGACCTATTTAGGAAACCCCAAAGTAGCTCAACTGCTTTTATTTGGGGAGGGGAGATGATTACTTGCTGAATTCATCAAGCAAGTTCCTTCACATTTAGCTTCCTGTCTTATGACAGAGGGTTTTTAGGTGTGAGGTGCTTCTCACTGCTGCCCACATTTAGATGTGTACATCTGATTCAGTTGCTTCTGATCCCGAGCTGAAGGGCAGGCTAAGGACTCTAGGGCCATAGTCCTCCATGCAGGGACACTCCTGAAGCTACTGATTCATCTTCTTACCTGGGCTTCCTTCCTGTAAGCTGCAGGTAGAAGTCGTAGATGATCACAGGAGCCCAGTGGCTGACTGCGTTCCAGCACTGGAATGTGAAGCTGCTGCTTGCAAAGTCAGCATTTGGCCTCCTAAAAGGTTTTTCAAATGGGATTTTTTCAAAGCTTGCCATGATTTGGAGTCCTGCAAGGTGGTGGGGGGAGAAACTGAGTGAGCTGTAAGTCGAGGCCCATGCATGGTGGACGGTGGCATTTGCAATGTGTCAGAATAATAAAGCCTAAGGATTTGCTGTGTAGAGTCAAGAAACAATTCCTGAGAGCAGGCAAGTGGTCACCCACAAAGCCAAATAATGTGAAAGGGTTAAGAATAGGGCCCACTTATTAAAACTTTTACCCTAAAATTTCTTAAGAGGAAGAGTTTTGGTCAGTACAGTCAAGAATTGTCAAGAACTTAGAGCTGCCATTCAGTTTGCAGGCTCTCTTGTCTGATCTGAAAGCCCAGGTACTTGTTTCTTTGGTTGGGTCATGACTTGCAGAACTATCAGGAAAGCCAACATCTTCCTGAGGCCTTTGTAGCAATGGCAAGACATCCAGTCTATGCCTGTGGGAATATGTTGGACTCCACTGTCCATGCTCATGTCAGAGGTTTTTTTTTCCCTCATTATTTATATTATTGCTCAGATAAAACCTAGCTAAACCTTTAATGTATATTTTTAAATTCAGTAATTCCTTTTCAAAAGATATTCATTGAATTCATTTTGGTTTTATGTGAAATTCTCATAGAATACGCCTAAGTTCACCATTCAGTTATGACAAGATATCAGTTACTAAGGTAATATGATTACTGCCTCCTGGAAACATAATACCTGGAAATCTATGTGAAAGTTACATGCCCTACAGAGAAGAGGTTCTAAAGAAACATCTGGCGCCTAGGCATAGGTGCTTGAGAGGGAAAACCAAAAGCCGTGCACAGTCTGTAATATGAGAGACTCCACTATATTGATCTCTGATCCACACATCTACTGGGATGCGTAATAAAGGCTGGTATTTTGCAGCTCTATGGCTGGGCCCTTAAGACTCCTACTCAGCCTTTCCAAATACACAGACAACATTTGCTTCTCATCAATCTTCCACCTCTAAGTGCTAATTCAAGTATTTGGTTGTTCAGCAAAAACCTCTGGAGTCATCCTTGATTCTTCTCTTTCTTTAACAACCCATTCAATCCAAATGACTGCAACTTGTAACACCGCATGTGTGTGCTCAGTGGCTTCAGCCATTACAAGACCCCACACCATCTGCCGCCCTCTTCAGAGCCACCAAAGTGACTCTTTGAAAGGGTAACTCAGAATGTATGCCTTCCCTGTTCAGGGCGCAGTGAGTCTCATCACTTAAAGGGAAAGTCAGACTCCTATTCCCAGTCTATGCAGCTTTCTACAATGTGTCTCCTTACACCCCAGGCCTGTGGACTTTACTTTCTTCCATTGTCCCTTCCATTGTCTCTGCAAGAGCCAGATTGGCCTCCGTGCTGTCCTTGAACATGAAGATAGGGCATCGTGTGAATTTCTCCTCCCCCTAGGAAACTTCCTCCAGCTTTCTCTCTTCATTCACATCTCTGCTAAGATGCCACTTTATCTTTGATAAGGGCTTTTCTTAATGACAAATACAAAACAGCACATTTGCAGTTCATTCTTTAGTTTGCTTTATTTTCTTTCTAGAACGGAGTCATATCTAGTATGTATTTCTCCCTATAAGAAAATAGTACTAGAGATCAAACTATTTTGTTTTGTTCATATGTATTTAGTACCTTGCATTGTAGCTGGATGATTTTATCACCCAGTAAATATTTTTCACTATGCAAATGAATAGATGGATGAATGTCTTAGCAACACAACAACTACTTTCCATTTCTTGACTCTACACATTAACTATTATTATTTAGCACTACATACTTGTCAGGCACTATGATAGGTGGTGGGGTACAATGCACACATGTTTGCTGTCCTTAGGAACTGGCAGTCTAGGGGATGCAGACAACTAACACTGACATTTAGTACCTGAGAATTATGCCAGAGCCCAGCACACTTTGCGCTGGAGGAATATACAGGAAGCATTTTGATTCTGGTGCCCAGGGTGGGTGGCATGCAGGCAGCTTAGGAAAGGTTTCCTGAGAAAGTTGTCCAAGTGGCAACAGCAGATATTTACTGACCCAGTCACGGGGCTAACAACTCCATCGCATTCAATCCTCCCACGAGCTCTCTGAAGTAGAATATTGTTCTTACTTGTCCAGTAAGACAAGTAAGGGCCTCCCCGGTGGTGCAGCGGTTGAGCGCTGGGTTGCGAAGCTACCTGCAGCCTCTGCAGCGCCGGTTCGATCCCCGGTTGCTCCCCGGCCACCGGAGGAGGTTCCCACATGGCGCGCAGACCTTTCCTGCCGCCCGCTGCTCCCCTCAGCAGTGTATTTTATCAGTCTGCCTGTTCTGTTCCCCACTCTGGCTCTGGTGAATTCTCTCACCCTCCCGTGCTTCTGACTGTACCCAGTGCTTGTATAAATAAATAAATAAATCTTAAAAAAAAAAAAAAAAGTAAGACAAGTAAGACTCAAAACTGACCTGCATGGAGAATGAAGTGATTTTTCCAAGTTCATGCAACTAACGGTTGGTAGGGCCTAGTACAGGGTGGGGGCTGCACAGCAGACAGTCTGTGTGGTCATGGGCTCTGTCTGGTGTTGTGTCCTCACAACCAAGAGCAGTGTGTGTTCCATGAATACAGGAATGAATGAATGGACTGTGGTTTAAATCCAAGTCTAGTTGACTTCAGAGTCCAAAACTGAAGCCTCTGACCCCAAAGCCATCTCATACACAATTGGAAAACTGAATTTAGAAATTAAAAATCACACTTCTATATACTCATAGGTCATGGTCCATACTCATGGAAAAGTTTAAATGCTTAAAAATAAATAGTATCAAAATGTTATAGATTAAAACTTGTGGGATATAGCAAAAGTGGCATTTGAGGGAAATGCTTACACTAGAAAAGCTGAATATTCATGAGCTATATTTCGAAGTTAAAGAAAAGAAAAAGAAGGAAAATGAATAAGAGGAAGGGAGTAATAGAGAAAAGAAATCAAAGTACTGGAAAATAAAGAAGTTTCAAGAATCATTAAAGTCAGAAGTTGGTGCTTTGGAAAAATAACCTTCTGGGAAGGTTATTGAGGAAAAAAGAGAAGTGCAATCACTGATATCAATTACAGGTGACATAATTACAGATACAGCTCAGGGCAAAAAACACTGAAGTGCTGTCATCAACAATTTTATGTGAATACAGAGTCTTAGTAACAGAGACAGATATAACCAAACTGATTCAGGCGAAAACAAAGTCTGTGAAATCCTAGAGCTACTGAAGAACTTGAAGTGGTAAAATAATCTCAGAAAAACCCACAAACCCAGGCCTTTTGTGAATAGATCACTCTAATCTGACACAAGCTCTCAGAAAAGAAAAATGAAAAAAAAATTCACCTCAACACATTCTATGAAGTGGATAACTGGATGCCTACATTAGACAAGCACTGTGGAAACAAAAAGCAGACAACAGGCTCCAGGATGAGCTGGGCCATCCAGGAAGTGTAAGCTGGTGGGAAGTTTTAACATTTGAAAATAGGAAAATATTTGGGTGATTAAAACTGATTAATACTGATTAAAAAATAGTGACAAATTGCTTTCTGATTAAAAGGCAATGATAACCACTACTTCCATTTCTACTCAATATTGTATTAGAAGTTGTTTCCAGTGCAGTAAGACAAGGAAAATAAAGATTTGGGCATGCAAAGGCAGAAGAGACATGATGCATTTTTGCATAAAAAACAGAAAAAAATACTTCATGACATTTCCAACAACCCAATATTTGAAGATCAAATAACTGCCTACATAGAAAACTGAAAGGATTCTCTTTGTAATTACTAGGAGCAACAGTTTAGCAAGATGGATGGCTATAAGGTTAATGTATAAAAGTCAGCTGCATTTCTACACACCAACCACAAACAACTAGAAAATAATTTATACCATTAAAATTAGGCAAAAAGTGAAAATTACCTAGGTTCTAGATGTAAATCTGACAAAAGATGTATAAGACCATATGCACCAGAATACACATTTTTTTGAAGGAGATTAAAGAAGATGGGAGGATGATCCTGAGCTCACAAGGCCAGCTTTCAATCACTGTTGAAAGTCATCTTGAAAATAACCTAGGGTGCTCATTTTACCATACACAGAGACAGTAAATGCTCCGCTCAGACTAGGAGGGGGAGCTGTTGCTTTAAGTGGAAATAGAAAGCAGGTCTCCTGCCTCTCTTGAAGGTATAATAACCACTCCGCTAGTGATTCTTATGATTGAATTCCAATCCCTGTAAGAGGGAGACTTCAGATTCCTGGGTTCTTCAAAACATCAGTAGAGGCTATGCATGTCCAACCTGCTCCATCCCAGGCCTAGTGGTCTCCACAGGAAGTGTTCTGACCTCTCCTTTACAGGTCCGATAAGGAAGCATAAATGGGCCTTAGCTTGAATCCAATTCAACTAACTGGTCACAATTTCCAGAAAGTCTGTGTTAAAAAACATGCCAGGACAGAGCTTGGGTGCAGCGGAATGAGTGCTGAATCAGCCAGAAATGTCTGCCATGTGTATGAGAGGGTAGAGGGGGTATGCGCGCCAGGTACTTGTCTTTGCCAGAGACATTCTACATGTCCACACCTATCACAGAACGAGCATGGTGTCCTGCATCCCACAGTCACACTCTAGTGTGGTGTCCTGGCTCACACTGGGATGTGTGTACAGTCTGACCTATACACATAGGTCACTGGGAAAGCAAAGGTATATTAGTAGCTAATAAGAAATTCTGCAGGTAACATGACATACACCTACCCATCATCACCATTAGAAGTTTAAGTTGGACTCAGAGACATTCCTGTGGGTTTTATGTGAATAGATCCCACCCCTTACATGTAGACTCATCAACAGAGGGTATGTGTCCTACAGGCTTTCTCAAGTAGGTTCCACCAGTGTCAAGAATCATCTGGATGCTTATTAAAAATACAAGTTCCTCAGAACCATCTGAGGCCTAGGACCCAGGAATCTGAAGTCTCCCTCTTACAGGGATTGGAATTCAATCATAAGAATCACTAGCGGAGTGGTTATTATACCTTCAAGAGAGGCAGGAGACTTGCTTTCTATTTCCACTTAAAGCAACAGTTCCCCCTCCTAGTCTGAGTGGAGCACTTACTGTCTCTGGACTGCATGTGTAAGGTAAAATGAGCACCCTAGGTTATTTTCAAGACCACTTTCAAGTACAACATTCTACAATTCCATAAAACAGATGATAAACAGTATGGAAAAGAATATTTTGACTCTCAGAAGCAGAATTTAGAGGTAGCAATTTTTTTTTTTTTTTTAATAGAGGCATGTTTTATTTATTTATTTATTTGTTTGTTTGTTTTGTTTATACATGCACTGGGTACAGTCAGAAGCACGGGAGGGTGAGAGAATTCACCAGAGCCAGAGTGGGGAGCAGAACAGGCAGAAGGACCGAAGTACACTGCTGAGGGGAGCAGCGGGCGGCAGGAGAAGTCTGCGCGCCATGTGGGACCCTCCTCTGGTGGCTGGGGAGCAGCCGGGGATCGAACCGGCGCTGCAGAGGCCGCGGGCAGCCTCGCAACCCAGCGCTCAACCGCTGCGCCACCGGGGAGGCCCGAGGTAGCAATTTTTTAATTTAAGATATCTTATTTGTTTCTACTTGTACCTCTTTTCTGAGTAATATATTAATTTTGTTATTGAGGTAAAGGAGATATATTTTTATTCCAAATGCTTTCAAAATTATTTAGATATATGATTTAAATAACTGGATGTATAGTCTAGAGAACTTAGATGGTAATAGTTAATTTAATTTCATGTTTACGGAAGTAAAAATTGTGAATAGAATAATACAAAGCAGTGTGCGTGCTCTGAATTGGAAATCTGATTCTAACCAATTAAGTATATTTCTTTTTTTCCCTAAAAACTACTATTATTCAAACAACAGCTAAATGATTGAAATGTTTTAGATATTCACAAGAAAATCAAATTCTGGGGCCTCCCTGGTGGCCTAGGGGTTAAGTCTCTACACTATCACCACCACGTCCTGAGTTCAATTCCTGGCCAGGGAGCTAATCTACATATGGCACAGCACATCTCTCCTGTCCCGACGACTACTCCCCACAACAGTGTATTTCAGTAGATACACCTATTCTGCTCCCCACTCTTCTGCTGCTGAATCCTCTCATCCCCTGAACCTCTGGCCTACAACCTGGTTCTTCAACAGCCCCCCCCAAAAAAAATTAAATCCTAAATTGACCTAAGAGTGTCTTGATAAAATAATTTTCTATTATAAGCAGGATAAATTACTTCAATAAGAAATTTTCAAGGTTACACTTCTGGCTAACATATAAATTGATGAAGATTATGATTAACTTAATAAAAAAAGCCATTATTATTACTGAATTTTTCTACATCTACTTGGTCATCTACCATTTCATATCCTCTGTGGTGTAGCAAGAGGGGAAAGGTATGTGGATGGAAGCAACTGCCTGACAGGCAGTAATTATCACTGACATTGCTTATAATTGCTGATCTTTACCTGGTTTTATTTTTAAAAAAATCTCTATGGTGGCTGGACCCTGTGCTGCTTACAATTACGGAGGTGTTCTCCCAATTCCTTTCCTTGGGAGGCCACGTAGCTCACTATCATACACGTACAATTTGCAACTGTTTGATCTCTTGACTTCCTCTTTGTCTTTATTACCCTCAAACCCTACGTTCCAAGACACTTTGTCCACTTTTCCCCAGCAGCACACACTAACAGCATATTGGCAGATTCAAGCAGTCAAAGTTATATCACTGTGCACTTACCCATCTTGCCCCAGTTACAGGGATTGAGGCTACCAGACGTACAGTGGTAGATTAATGTTGACTTAGGTCTGGAAAATGAAATAAAAATTAGTTAACTATAACAAGATGGAGAACTAATGGGAAAAAGATAAGGGAAAAGAGTTTATTACTTTATGGTCAACCAAGTAGCAGGCAGCATCTATAAAGCATATTTGTATTACATGTGAAGGCACACTTGGATTTGTGTAAAACTACTGAAACAGACACCATCTCATATTTGGGGTCTTCTATAATCAAGTGCATGTATTTTGGAAATATGCCTATTTACCCTCCTCCTCATCAAATGTTTGCGAGCTAGCTCAAGCATCCATACCTGTGAATTGCTGTGTACCATCCCACGGCCAAGGTAAGGTTGACAACCGTATCAACTGGAATTAAATCCGCCACTGCCAATGGAGCCGCTTTTATAGCCCGAAGTAGCCCTTTCCCGGCCTGCAGGAGAAAAAGATCAGAAAATATTCGACCAGGTTGTATGTAACAGCTGAAGCTAAAGTATTTATTGGACAGATAACACTAATGCTGTTAGTAATAGTGTTAACATTGACTCACTGCTTACCAAGTCATCAGGCTACAGCTGATTGATCTCAGCCTACTCAACCTCCAAGCCAAGTTCATCTCAAACGCCACCATTTCCATGAACCACTACTACGTCTCACGTTCTTTGAGGCAGTGGAATGCCTCAAATTTTTGAGGGGTTAATATATTCAGTTAATTAAACACCGAGAATAGGCTTTCACATCTTAAAAATTAATTCATAAGACATTTTAAGAATAAAGATTTCCCATAATACTAGCTTGCCATTTAAATGAGGAGGTTTTCTGCTATTGTTTACTAAATTACATGCAATAGTAGAGACCCAAAGTTTAAGAAAACATTTAAAAAATTAATGAAGTAATATAACAAAACCTTTTTTATTACTTGGGGAAAAGTCACTTCTTTAGTAACTTTCTTTTTTTAAATCTTTTTTAAAGATTTATTTATACAAGCACTGGGTACAGTCAGAAGCGCTGGAGGGTGAGAGAATTCACCAGAGCCAGAGTGGGGAACAGAATAGGCAGACTGACGAAATACACTGCTGAGGGGAGCAGCAAGCATGGCAGGAGAGGTCTGTTGCACCATGTGGGACCCTCGCCGGCGGCTGGGGATCGAACAGGCGCTGCAGAGGCTGCAGGCAGCTTCGCAGCCCAGCACTCAACCGCTGTGCCACCAGGGGAGGCCCTCTTTAGTAACTTTCTTTAACACGCAGATAGACTCAAGAATTGGGAATTATTCACATTAATTAAAGTCATTTCAATAAATATGTCAGTTAATAAAAAAAAGTCATGTTTATTTACTTTATGAAGCAATTGATTTTTTTTTTTTTTAATTTTCTAGAGGCATGTCTTATTTATCTATTTGTTTGTTTGTTTGGTTTATACATGCACTGGGTACAGTCAGAAGCCGGGAGGGCGAGAGAATTCACCAGAGCCAGAGAGGGGAGCAGAGCAGGCAGAAAGACCTAAGTACACTGCTGAGGGGAGCAGCGGGCAGCAGGAGAGGTCTGCGCGCCATGTGGGACCCTCCTTCGGTGGCCGGGGAGCAGCCGGGGATCGAACCGGCGCCACAGAGGCCGCGGGCAGCTTCGCAACCCAGCGCTCAACCACTGCGCCACCTGGGAGGCCCGCAATTGATTATTTATACCCTGCATGTTTCTAACATTAATTTGAAATGGTTAGCACTTTCTTAGGGTACCAATTTCTGGAGTGTATGCCAAAGGTACAGGGGGTCAGAGGATTCAACAGAGACAGAGTGGGGAGCAGAACAGGCAGATCTACTGAAATACACTGCTAAGGGGAGCAGCAGGTAAGACAGGAGAGGCCTGTTGTGTCATGTGGGTTAGCTCCCTGGCTTGGGATCGAACTCATGCCACAGTGGCTGGCAATAGCTTGATAGCACTGAGACTTTAACCCCTGTGCCACCAGGGAGGTCCCATTGATGCCCCTTTTTAAACATAAGAAACTAGCTTGGAAACTTGAACAAATTTGAATATGCAGTTTTATAAACAATGTAATAAAACTCACTCTGGGATTATGTTAAAAGAATCATGTTCTAAGTTATCAAACATTAGCCCAAGTGAGTCTTAAGTAAGAAAGAATTAAAGAGAGGTAAGAAACAGAACGACAGTAACAGCTAGATAAAAAAAAATCACAAAGCTTATCCCTTCATTCCTCTCTTTGCCAACTAGTCACAAATTACTGTTGCCTGTTTGTACTTCAGTTGATGCTGGACCTAGTTCTGAGAACAGTGGTAGAGTCTAAAGCCTGAGATCCCTAATAAGACTTAGACCCCGGACTTCCTGGTGGCACAAGGGGTTAAAACGCAACCTATGAAGCTCACTGCAGCTACTGCAACACGAGTTCAATCCCCAGCCAGGGGGCTACCCACATGGCACAGCAGACCTATCCTGTCTCATCTGCTGCTCCCCTCAGCAGTGTATTTCAGTCAGTCTGCCTGTTCTGCTCCCCACTCTGTCTCTAGTGATTCCTCTCACCTCTGGCCTGTACCCCAGTTCTTGTATGCATAAATAAATCTTTTCTTTTAAAAAAGACTTAGACCCATTAGAACATTGAATATATTAATATATTTATCCTAAAAAGTGGAGTTGGGGCCCTGAAATGCCTTTGTGCGACCCGGGAGGCAACAGCATGGAGGCCAGGCTGGCCGTCCACCAGGAGAGGGCACAGAGGACTGCTGACCCACGGGACCCAGTGCAGTTGCTCCTCCACCCCAAGGCTGGTGTTGAAAAAGCTGCCCTCTGTTCATCAGTTTTTATACTTGAAACATCTGCTCTCATTGGTAGCGCTCTTGTAGTTTTAAAAGGTATTGAAGTATTTTATGTCTATATAGTTTCCATCCACACACATGTAAACACTTGTTTTTTTATAATCAAGAATTTAATCATCCCTGTAAATATGATTTTTATTGCAAACCCGGTTCCCTGCAGTAATTCAAGCTGTCAAGTAACAGAGAAAAGGCGGAAATACCCCCACCTTGTGGTAACACAAGGGAAATACAGACATGGTGCTTGGTGTTCTCAATGCTTCCCCAAAACCCCTCATAAATGGGGACTGATGAGATCACAGTTGCTCTGTTTTCCTGATAATAAAATTTACTGGTAATAGTGAGTAATTTTGCCTTATCTCTACTTTCAATTGTGCTAAAGTAACATTTCTGATTTCGGGTCATGTACTAAGCAGCCTGTTACTCCCCCTATGAACTATCAAAGCATTTTCCCCCACATCACTCCACATACCGCAATAATGAGTCCACTGGGTCCATTTAAGTTATCAACCCAACCCTAAAACAGAAAAGGAGTGATTGGTTACATGTGTGAGAAAAATCACAATACCTTTGGAACATAAGCAGTCAAATTTTATGAATGTCCAGTAAGACCAATAAGACCCCAGACAAGAGAACTCCTTAATCCAGCATTTCTAAGATTACAAGCAAAGATTAGAGGCAAAGCACTGGGTATTTTCTACACTTGATTTGTGCAAGCCTTAAAATTCTGCAGCATTTTCTCATAGCAGGAGTCAAGGATGTTTTCAATTTATTGTGTGACCCCTTAGGTATGACACTGGGCGTTGTCTTTAACAGCATGATCTGCTGACCCATTCACCAGCATCATTCTCCACCTCCTGGGGCCTGATTTTAATCTCTTAGGGGAACATTTCAAAGATGATTCGAAGAAATTCCTTGGAAACTTAAAGAGTCACAGTGTTCATATATTAAGTGTTAAGCATGCTTAGAGATGTTAAAGATATGTACAGGAGCAGTTAGAAGAAAATCTCTAAGCTTTAAGCAAGTGAGTTGGTTTTATGTCTGCTTATCTGCAAAAGTCAAAATGTGTGTGTCACATGGGAGAGGAGGTAGGAGAGGATGAAGCGATCAATCTTGAGCCTTTTACGAGGGAGCAGGTGCTCCTCCTCTATTTTTCATTTGATCGATGTTCAAGAGTGGGTGGTGTTAGCCTGTTTGACAGATGCAACAACTTAAGGTTGTGCTGTTAGTAAGTACTGGAGCTTGAATTGTCTGGCCCTATAGCTTCATAGAATGGGCTCTGAGGAGATGGCATAATTTAAAGTACTTTAAAAAAAAAAAAGGATATAGAGTTATACAGAGGGTAAAGATATTACTCCTAAGCTGACAACCTTCTATCTGTTTTGTGATTCCTATTAATCCTGGCATCTGTAAAATCACAAATCTGGCCATTGAGAACATTCTGGAATATTTAAACAATGGCCAGAAAGCCAAGAAATTAAAACCCCCCATGAGAATTTTGAGACTAGGATTAAGGAGAAATTATTTAAGATCTCTACCACCTCTAGGATGTCAGTGTCAGTGTAGGTAAATCCTGAACCCAACATGGAACTTTGCCTTAATATATAACAGGCTGGTGTTTGAGTTTCTGAACCCAGGCACACCCTGAGAAGAAAAATCAGAGGGAGAGGAGAAAGTACTGCGTTGGGAGGAGGCCCGTGTGAAGGCCAAGCTGGGGTCCAGCGGGGGGACTGACCGGAAAGGGCTCCTGCCAGGTGGCTCCCACGATGGAGGGCCTGACGATGGCGATGTTGAGGTTCTCGCTCTCCTGCTGCACCACCACCTCTCCCAAGGCCTTGGTGTAGGTGTAGGTGTTGGGCCGGTCCCCGATCAGCTTGGGTGTGATCTCATCGATAATAGCATCATCTAGCCATCTGAAGGTAGAGCGAAAAAGGCTTCTAGCAACTATGTGGGATAACAGACCAAGAAGAAAATGGGAGACATGGGCAATCAAACAAAACTTGCACTTTCTAGCCCGAGTTCTGGAATGCAAAAGCATCACCGAAAACCACAGTGGAGCGTACAACTCTCCCAGTCCCAGCTCACGGATGAGCTCTTGGCTCCGCAATGTGGAGCCCAACCTGACCATCAACACCTGCTTCCCTCTCCCAGACAGAGAGATGCAACAACTATGCAGTCTGTGACTTTACCTGCACTGTGTGTGTGTAAGGACACACACTGTGAACATGTCTGTGACATACCCGGTGTTGTGCCAACTGCTGCAGTCAGTGAGGCTTTCATCCAAGTGGCTTCCAGGCAGCCCAGCTCACTTGGTGCTGTCCAGTGAAAACCCAATGCACCAATCTTGCTGCCTTTAGATTCAAAAAATTCCATTCCATGCCTCCACTAATACAAGCGATGACATTTGGCAGATTTGCCATCTATTTTAGCAACTTAGGGAAATGTTTTGAAGGTCTGTTTAGAGTCAATGCTGACAACCTGGTCATTCTTCGCAGAAATTCCAGCGAATTCTGAAGTGCTCTAGTAATGATGGATAGTCTGCCAAGTGAGGGATTATAGTATTCTGAAGCAGCTATATATAACAGAGCACTGACTGAACACCTCTCCTTACAAGACATATCATGAACTGGTTACCATGACATCAACCTACTCTATTTTTAAAAATATGTCAGAAGCATTTTGATAAAACTACACTTCTCTAAGAGAGCAACGTGATCATTAATTATTTAAAACTTCTTTTAGCTGGCAGATCTATTTGGTAAAACTTCTTCTCTCATACAGTTTTTAAAAATTAGGCAACCAGAAGCTGTTGGTACAATTTTTATAATCCATTAACTAGTCCATTTATTCCCATTTTATAGAAGTGAGCTCAATTATACTATTTTGATTGTAGAAAAAAATGCGGCTGTCATGCTGACAAACTGTTGGGCACGTATGTGTTTAACACTCAGGCTGCTTCAAGAACCCCGCTCTCAATGTTAATGACTCACTTGATATTAACATGGGACATGATCACTGTCCACGATGCTTTGTGGAGTGTTTTCTAGATGCTCTTGTGCCTTTTGACTTAAACTCATTAGGAAAAGGTTGAGATGCCTAGAATTAAAAACAACTCTAAATACTTAGAAAAATAAAAGACACTCCAATTAGAGGGCCACATGAGGGTTGGGGGAGAGTGTGGGATAATGGAGGCACCTCTCTATCTCCACAGTAATATTATCTCTGCCTTATTTTATCTGTGGGCCAAGCGTGGACTAACTGGCCTAAGGACATTTTCTTTTACCTGTGAAAGCATCTATGTTACAAAAATGGGGTCAGAAGAAATACAATCAAATTTCAATAAGGCTGAAAAGAAAAAGATTCTAAGATGACACCAGAATCAAGCAAGACAGGAGGACTTAGTTCACATGGTTGGGGCTGCTGTCACTGATGTGGATGTGGTGAGGGGGGAGGGTAACACCTGGAGGCCTTACAATATTTGCTACACCAGCTTCTCTTAGGAAATACGGGTCTCACAGCTTTCTTTTTTTCTCTTTAATTTTTTTTTTTTCCATCTCACAGATTTCTAAGGACACAAACACAAAGGGGGAGGCATCGGTGGCTGCCCTGCAATCCTTAGCTACCTGGAGTCTCCTGTCTTACATTTTTTGTTTCCTACTTTTTCGCTTGTGAAAAATGGCAACAATTACATCTATTTTAAGTTTTCAGGTTATTGTGAGCATTAATAGCACTAGGCACAAATGCATGGCAAGTTATTACAACAAAATGAGCCAGAACCCCAAGGCACTCTTCTATTCAGTAAAACCTCCCAGAAGCAAAGGCCTACAAAATGGAATGAAGTCTCTTTAATGATTCAGTCAGAGCACCTACTGTCTCATTCACCTGCTTTGCAGGCTCCAGACCAGAGTGCAGGATGCACATCTCAGAGCGAGGGGGTCCTCTTTGTGACACCAAGTTCACCTTGTTGTTATTCAGTGTCAATGTGTTTAAAAAGGAAAGGTACTTGGAAAAAAGATATCAAAGTGTATTTCTGAAAGTAGCCAGATTTCCTTCAGTGTAACTTAAGATGTTTTGAAACCATGCAACCCCCCAAATTTAAATTTTTAGTCAAATGGCTTCAAAAGAGGCACAAAATTACTGAAAATTTCTGAAGTAATAAACATACGCAATGTCCTTTAAAATGTGACGCTCTTTTTGAAAATCATTGAATCAATCTCCTATTTTCATCAACAATTCTGTAACGGAGGCATTTATTGGATGAAGTAACAAGAGGAAGATGTCTGTTCCACCTCATTTTCTTACACCCTAGCAAGAAGCCTCCTAGGAGCTGGGGCTGGACTTGCTGCCTCACTTGCTTTCTCCCTTCTCTCATCTGGCTTGTGTCCTTCCCTGGTGGGCGCTACTCAAACTGTTACTCTGGGAAGCTCACAGGCAATCCCCAATTAATTTCTGCACAAGAGTCTCTTGAGGTAAACATCACCAAATGTGGAAACTGCAAACAGCAAACAGAGAGGAGTAAGGATGGTGGCAGGGTGACAAGGTGACGTGGCAAGGTGTCTGTGGTAGCGGGGATGAGGCACAAGACCCTGCAAGGTCAAGAGGTAGGAGAATGAATGCTGACCACAGACTGGAGGCCACACCAGCCACACCACTGACAAGCATCAAGTTATTACTAATGTGTGCTTGCGTGAATGTGCCACAGCTGTGTGCCCGCACCTTCTGGGGATGTTCAGGACCAGGTAATCCTGCCAGTTTTTTTTTTTTTTAATAAATTTTATTTTTATATTCCCCATACAATTGCAACCCCCTTATTTTGACCCCGATCTCTCCCCTCCCCGCCCTCCACTCCCCATAGAGTGTCTCTGGTTCATAGTTGTTTGTTGATTTTGATTTTCACTTTCTTATAGTTATTCATTTTCCTGGTCCCTTATTTAAGTTTTCTAGATTCCTGCTATGAGTGAGACCATCCGGTATTTTTCTTTTTCTTTTTGGCTTATTTCGCTGAGCATGATCCCTTCCAGCGCCATCCATGTTGCTGCAAATTGCATGTGTTTATCTTTTTTGAATGCTGAGTAATATTCCATGGTATATATGTACCACATCTTCTTGATCCAGTCATCTATTTTTGGGCATTTGGGTTGTTTCCTACGTTTATAGCAGCACTGTTTACAATAGCTAAGCTTTGGAAACAATCCTGCCAGTTTTGAGATAGGAGCTGAAGGGACGACTGAGGCCTGGTATTCCAGGGCTACAGGATGCACAAAAGATGGGCTGGGTAGAGCAAGGGGTGGGGGGCTTTCACCTGAGAGGAGGGGCAGGGAATGGGTATGGAGTTTAGGGCCTCAGTTGTATTTCCCTTATTAACAACACAGAGCTGGGGCATGTGGGCCTGCTGTAAAGAGGAATCAGCTTTTTTTCCTTCCTATGTAGAGAAATCTAGTTCCTCCCTACTGTGTGTTTCTTCCCTGTGAGAATCCCTGGTTACTCAAACAAAACGTTTTATCTCTGGTCCCCAAATGTGTAGGCCTTTCCCTCATACCCAGCAATTCTGTGACACTGGTTGGTTATCTATAGTTGAACCCTGTTCTATCAGCCTAGAGAATGTGCCAGACCCCATAGGTTGGGGGCTCAGGTCCCACAAGACCACCTTGGGTGCCAGTCACCAGCCCAGGTTGTCACCTGTGCTTCAGACCAACCAGCTTTAGATGGAAGGTTCCAGAGCACCTCCTTGGGTTTGATGACTATGCTAGGGTGCCTCACAGGATGAAGGATACAGATGATCATCCACATGAAAGGTTACACAGGGTGAAATCTGGAAGGGCCCTGAGTGCAGGAATTTCTGTCACTGTGGAGCTGGGGTGCCTTGCATCCCCCTGTGTATGTGCTCTCCCATCTGGGAGCTCCCAAACCCCCTACTTATTGACACTTTATTGAAGCTTCCTCATGTAGGCATGATCGATTAACTGTTTCTAGTCCCTTTGCCCTCTCTGGGGGTTGGGAGATGGGAATGACAATTTCAGGTTTATAAACCTGGTTCAGTCTTCCCGGTGAGCAGCCCATCTGGGAACCCCTGAAAGCCTCTCGCTGGAACTGGAGATGCTCCTCTCACTTGAGAATTTACAGGTGTTTCGGTTGCTCTGTGCCAGGAACCAGGGGCAGAGACCACATATGCTTTTTTTTTTTTTTTTTAACCTCACACCTAAGCAACCGGGAAAGTTCCTGGCAAAAAGGGCAATGCATCTTTTATTTCACAGTTCTGAAATCCCCATCCAACTGGTTTTCTGGAAAAGGAAAGGTTCATTTAACTTTTCCATGGGCAATTCCTTTTTCCTTAAATGATTCTTTCTCTCTGCTTAACTGAGGCATAATTGACAAGCAGAACTGTGCGCTAGCCGAAGCATACATGGTGGTGATTTGTTATATAGACAGACCGTGAGGGGCCCCCCCTGAGTACTTAACACATCCACGTGGATGGGTACATTGAGATCACAAAGCCTAGGGCACAGCTTGGAGAGTATTTTGGCTCTTCTTTAAATCTGAGAACCACCGAGATACTAAGAACAATGACAGCCATGAGGTGCCACCTAGGGGGTTACTGTTAATAAAAATCCCCAAGGGAAATAGAAATCTAACAATGATGGAAAATAATTTCATTATTCAACCGCAGGCCAACTGCAACATCAAGAAGAAATCAAAGAAAAATACTTTCTTAAAACAAACCAACTAAATCTGGACCGAGCCGAATTAATTTTGATTCAGAATGACCTAATGCTATCTGCCATTCTAGAGCTTGAGATAGATTTACCTGATACAGAGTTTGCTAAAATAGCTGGGGGAGTTGCGAAGGGGCTGCTGGACCTTATCAAAACAATTATTTAAAAATAAACAGGTAGGTTTTTCAGAGACATACTGTAGGGGAGGAGAAGGGAGAGAGGTGGGAGGGAGGGAGGGAGGGAGGGAGGAGCACAGGGGACTGAGGTGATGGTGCACGGGTGCTTTGGGGAAGGAGATTCTATGGGGACTCAATCTGAGGGGGTGGGGGGAGCAAATATTGTCTAAAAATGTAAAAAATGATAAATGTTAAAATAAAAAAATGAAAAAAAGTTAACAGGTAGGTTTTATTTGAAGTTTAACAAGAAAAAAAAAAAAAAGGGCAGTCAGAGAGTGGGGTAAATTGTGAGCATATAGGTCTTTACACCAAGACTTTACATCTCCAGTTACTAGCTGGCCATGGAATTCTGTCATCTATTCTGGCTTTTGCCAAAATAAAGAAAACTAACAAAGGTAACCTGGCCATGAACAATGATCTACCACTATCAAACACTTGCTACTCATTCAGCAGATTTTGAGTCTTGCTGTGGGCTGGCCCTGGCCAGCGACGAGGTGCAGGAGACACCCATCTCCTCCAAGGGGCTCGTGGTGGCCTGGGGTGCACAGAGAAAAGCTTGGGTCTTTAGAATGGGGTGTCCTGCTCCTCAGGCAGGACAAGAACAGGGCACTGTGGGGACACCAGGTGAGGCCAGCCTGGATTTGGACTTCTAGGACTAGGTGTCTGAGGGGGGATCCACCAGGGGCGCCCAGGAGGAAGTGGTCTCCAGAGAGAGTGGCATCAAGGCAGAGGCAGAGCACATGAGAGTGTCTGGGCCAAAAGGAAGTGCTACCACATGAGGGGGCTGGGGAGACAGGAGCCCTGCAATATACTTCCGAGCGAATGAACGTGCCAGACTTCCAGTTAACATGACACTGTGGTTCTTGAGCTGCATTCCCAATGTAGTTAATTGAGATAAACTGCACTGCCATCCTTAGTTCAATTTGGTTATATATTTAATGCTTCCCTGGAAGAGCCAGGAATGACAGACAGACAGATACAGAGCCCTGGTCAATCATAATTTGTCACAGGTCACGCTCAAGGGCCTGCCTTTCCTGGTAGGCCTGGGGCTTTGGACAAGGAGGGAGGTAGGTGCAATATGGGGTGCCTGGAGAAGTAGATCCCAATGGTGAACTGAATTTCATTCCTATATCTGCTCAACCCTCAAGTTCCTCTGCTGCCTGTCTGTCCATGTGGGAGGCGTCTGCAGTGGAGTGAGTCCTGGACCTTGGCTGCAGGTGTAAGCTCTGTTCCTGGATGTGTCACACACTCACTGGGAGAGGACACTGCGAGGACAGAGCAATGCTGCCCAGAAGGCACCCAGGCTTAGCTCACAGGCCGCAGTGTGTCTTCAACAATCCTGGCTATCTCGGGACTATGAAAGTTCCCTTTGCACCAACTAAGCAAACAATTGTTTATTAGCAACTCTTCAGTAACCTCCAGTTCCTTTGGATACTGTCCTTTGTCCTGGATATTTTTTTAAAGATTTATTTTATTTATTTATGCATACAGAGCTGGGGTGTAGGCCAGAGGACTGGGCTGGGGGTTGGTGAGAGGGTTCACCAGAGACAGAGTGGGGAAGCAGAACATGTGGATTGACTGAAATACACTGCTGAGGGGAACAGGGGTCAAACTCATGCTGCAGTGGCTGTGGATAGCTTCACAGTGCTGATACTTAGCTCCTTATGCCACCAGGGAGGCCCTGTCCTGGATATTTCTAAGTGACAAGTAAACGCTCAGAGCTGTATGAGATAAAATGTTTGTCCTGAAGGGGAATGAACTCTTGGTTTAGTAAGCTTCATTTTAAAAATGATATCTTAAATAGAAATACAGTATATGAAATTAAAATTTGACACATTCACTGGGAAAATCTCTTTTCTATAATACTTTTCATGCAGAGTTTAGGACAATAACAAGATCAACTTTGTAAATGGAGGACAATCAAGACAGAAACATACTTAAAATTCTGAGAGCAGAGCCATATCCTGCGAAGAAAGTGGTTGCAGTGAGTTGGCAAGAAAAGAAACATTCAGACACAGTTTCTCTGGCACAACAGGTTAAGAGGCTCACCTCTTCAGCCAGACAGGCGGATTCTCTCCTCTCTGTTAGTTCTCCTTTACTGACCTTTTGATTGACAGCTATTAAACACCCCCAGCACTGCAATCACTATTTTACCTAACTCACTGTATCATCACAACTGCAAGATGAGCACTATTTTTAATTCCATTTTAAAAATGAAGAAATGGCGGCTCAGAGAGGCCAAGGAACTCGTGCAAGATCACACAGTGAGTAGGGTGCTGAGCTGTGAGTCAAACTCATGTCAGTATGACAGCACTGAGTTCATCAGGAAGCGACGAACCACACCTATGCGAGGTCTTCCCACCCATCCTGCACAATCTTAAACTAAGACAACGCTTCTGTGGGACTGTCCTATCCTGACTAGCCCATTCCCAACCACTGTCATCCCCTCGGGGATGATGGGAACAGGCGCAGGGCAGCAAAAGAGCACCTTCCTGCAGCAGGGTGTCCCGCAGCAGGGCATCCTACTCTGTGCCCTCATCGCTGACGCCTTCTAAGAAGCAAAGAAATCAACAAGCTCCCCTCTTCCCCTTCTGAACCCAACTCACTGCATGGAGTCGATGATTTTCTTGGGCTCCACCTTGCAGGGATAGACAACTTCATCAATGTGTTTCAGGTTACAGTTGGCAAAGGCAGTGGAGATGTGCACGAAGACCTCAAGCTTTGGCATCTGGCTGGCTATGAGCAAGAGCTGCTGCGTGGCGGTCACATTCAGCTGCACGGCATGTCTGTGGAAGACATGCAGAAGGAAAGACAGGGAGGCCAGTTAGTCTCCACCCTGTGGGATGCACCTGTTCCCAGGAAGGGCATAAGTCAGGAGCAGGGAGAAAAGCAGGGTCATGGCGACCTGGTGGAGTGCACCCTGGGATGTGTGGCACGTCGCTGTCGCATTCTGCACACGTAAATGCTACGCATTAAAGTTCTTCGGCATCTAGAAGCCACTTAGTTCCAAATAAATGGGGAGGAAAAAACTGCCTTCCTCTGCGTGTGTGAAGGGGCTCCTACACCAGCCATGAAAAGCCTAGAAACACACAAATGAACCCTCTCACACAAGAAGCTGGAAAATTCAAATGAACTGGAGGCAAGCAACAGTTGACAGTGGCTGCAGAATGGAAAATGTAAGTTTCCCTGGCAAAGGGACAGGTCAGACATGAAAACTGAAATCAAAATTCTAAATTTTAGCAAATAGAACACAAAGTATTATAAATGCAAAAAGTGATGAAAGAGTTCATGTCAGAAATATGTGATTTCAACTATATTAGGAAACCTCCTAATATAATTCAAGAGAAAAACTCCCTGTTCCTCCACAAAATTTTGAAATGTTAAAAGCAACATTCAATATTCAAATCCAATTAATTTAAAAACTTTCACAAGGAACAAAATGAATGTTCACAAGGAACAAAATGAATGAAAAGTACATATTTCTATTGGCCAGCCTGCATCCTGATTAACAGTGAGAAGCGAGAGCTTTGACAGCCAGGATCTAGGAGGGCCCCCACAATCACTGCACTGCTCTGAAGGTTCAGCCTTGCAAATGAGAGAGGAAACAAACAAGTGACATGCTAATACTGGAAAGATGGTCAGCAAAATCACAAGAGAAGACTTTCCTGTATATCCAGAAAACAAAAAGCAGCAGCTAAATCAAAACCCAACCAAATCTGGGATGTATATTAAGACAATTTAGCAGGGTATCCATTTCCCAAAGTTATGAAGAGAAAATCACAAGCTTTCCTAGAAAAAACAATCAGAGAACATGATGGAGGAAAGGTGCACATACTCAAAATGGAACATGTAAAACCTATATTAAATAAATCATTAAGTGACCAGGAACTATATAAAGAAAATCGTAAAACATCCTTAAAAGAACAGAGGAATAGACAGACATTAGTTGTTCTTCAATAGGAAGAACCAATGTTTAAAATGCTGAGTTTTTCTAAATTAATCCATTAATCATTAGGTGAAATGAATTGAACTCCCCACCTTTTACAGACTTGGCAACATTTTCCTAAGTTTAATTAAGATGCATAAGCAGGTCAGACTAGTCAACAAGATTCTATTAAAAATGATGATTATACTTGTATAATAAAATTAAAATGACAGTAATTAAAATACTGTGGTATTAGAAGAGAAAATCTTTTCCATTTATTTAACAGAACAAAATCAAGAGTTAAAAAATGACAATTTAGTTTCAGAGTTACATTTCAAGTGAGGAATGAAAATAAACCATTCAATAAAGGTTGTTGAAGAAGGAACCATCTGTTAGAAATCTTTAAAAAGCTACTCTACTTTCACAGCTATAACACACTTCTTTTTATAACATTTTCTTGACTACTCCTCTTCACAGCAACACAAATTTTCAGTGAGTCAAATATTTGAATGTGAAAATTAAATAAAAACACTAGATGAAATTATGAATGACTGCATAAAAATAGAAATTGAGAACAAATGCTAAACTACTTTGAGCCTTATAAAAGATAGTTAATATGCTAATTCTTCCAACAAAAGTTAACATTGATAAAAAAGTTTTATTCAAAAAACGGGCAAAGAACATGAAGGAACACTTCAAGAAAAAATAAAATAAAAAGCTAAACATCATCTAAATGCCTACAACCTCTCTAATTAGCAAGGAAATAAAAATCAAAGCATGCAATACCATTTCCGTTATCATACCGGTGAGTAAGAACTAAATATGCTACCTCAGGATGGCTATGGTGTCCGAGATGAGCCATTATGTGCAGAGAACAGTGTGAATGAGAGCACATGGAAAAAGCAACCTGGCACTCTATGGCATAACTGTTTATAGCCTGGGCACCTGCATGTACCTAACACTTCCTGGAATTTACCCAAAGGAAAGGACACAAAGGTATAATATATATATATGAAATACACACACAGATGTTCACTGCAGAGCTGTCTATAATTATGAAAAATTAGGACAAACCAAAAAAAAAGTCCACCAATACAGAACTGGTAGAATATATTCTATATAAGTATAATAGGATAAGAAAATGATTATTGACAATAAGAGCCAATTATACAATTGAGCAGGATGCAAAAAATCATTCACACTAGGATGCCCTCTTCTGGCAAAATTAAATATAAATTTAGTGACAGATACAGAGGAAAGTTGGGGAGGACATTTTCCCCCCATATTAAGTGGATATCTCAGGATGGTAAGATTTTGGAGAAGTTTTACTTCTGTCTTTTTTTCATAGCAAATGTTCCTTTTTTGTTAACAGAAACCATAAAGCAAATGACACCATGTGCATGTACACACATGCACACACACCAGCCCTGGGGGTGGGGTGGGGAGTGGAAGGTACCTCAAGGGGTCGTCAAAGCGCACGGTGGCTGCGCAGTGGAAGATGATGTTGGTGCAGGACAGAAGCTCCTGCATGTCCTCCTTGCTGATGGCCAGGTCATTCTGATCGAGGTCGGCATAGATAGGTCTGATCTTCTCATGAATGTTTGGACAAACCTCTTTGACTTTTTCAAACAGCTGAAAGAAATGAGAGTCCAGTTTCAGAGATCCTCACTGTCACATTGCTCTTGCCTGTGCCCACAGGTTTCATTCTAATTCTCAAAAATGGATTTTAATTGTAATAGGAGCACTCTAAGAAGGCATCTGATCAAAAGATATTTGCTTCATTTCATGCAATTCAAAGTCAGCTTAGTCCAATTCCTGCTCCTCTTAGTTGGAGAGACATTTGAAACAGTTCCAATCAGCAGTGAGGAGTCTGAACTTCCCTGGGGGGTGAAGGCGAGCAAGTTATATTCTGCTTCGGGAAGGCAGTTTCATGTTTGTATGTGGGCAGGGAAACACTGTTTTCAGTGCAAAATTACCAGCCTTTACAAATTACCAACAAGATCATCATCCTTTACAAAAGAGGACTCATGAATGCAAATTCAAGACTATTTGGTCAACTGGCCCAGATACGCAGGGAGCATCAACATAAAATTAGAAAATGAGAAATTAGGCAAATTTGTAATGGGAAAAATAAGTAAGAAACTTTATGTCATTCTAATATAAATAGCAGCTATTTTCCAGTAAGAAAATTAGATGAGCACAAGTACTTTTTATAGGATTTTAATTGATTTTTAAAATCTTTTTATTTATAGATGAGAAAGGAAAAAAGAGAACTGGCAGCTTTTATTACAATTATTCAGATGCAACAGAATCTCTACTTTCCTCTCCACACACAAGTTCTTAAATTAAATTGGTATTTTCCATTTTCTCAGAAAGTATGATTTAAATATCTGAGTCCCAAATGACCTGAGTCCCAAACTATTTTGATAAAACCAATTTACTGTAGTCCTGGCATCTAGTATCAACAATGAAGAAATGTAAGCCTTTAGAAAGGCTAAGAGCAGAGAAAACAATTTTTTGGTTCTAAATTTATGGTTTTAATACAATAAATAGCAAAGAGGATCTTCTCGCCTTTAATCCCATTATTGGGCATAGAAACTGTGGCCGGGTGTTTAGAGAAACCAAGACCACTTGTCAGAGAGGGTCACATTCAGAGCCATCTGGGGAGGCCAGTGCTCCCTGTTGCTCAGCTACCATCTTTCTGTTCTATGGTCAATCTTCTCAGTGGGGCATTATTGCCATTCTGAAAATATTCTGTTAATCCTCAATGCTTTTTTTTTTTTTTTTTTTAAATATAGACGCATGTTTATTTATTTATTTATTTATTTATTTATTTATTTATTTATTTATTGTTTATACAAGCACTGGGTACAGTCAGAAGTGCGGGAGGGTGAGAGAATTCACCAGAGCCAGAGCGGGGAGCAGAGCAGGCAGAAGGACCGAAGTACACTGCTGAGGGGAGCAGCGGGCGGCAGGAGAGGTCTGCGCGCCATGTGGGACCCTCCTCTGGTGGCCGGGGAGCAGCCGGGGATCGAACCGGCGCCATAGAGGCCGCCTGTAGCTTCGCAACCCAGCGCTCAACCGCTGCACCACCAGGGAGGCCCCTCAATGCTTTTTTTGACACCTGGGATTGATAGGTCTTTCTCATTCAGCAGGATTCAGTTAGCAACTCTAACCTGGTGGAGCACAAGCTAAATGTCTGCTGCCAGCCAAGTGTTGTCCTTCATGTTAGTTGTACTACAAATATACATGCTTGGAAAAGTTCATTTAATTAAGATTTGTGCAATTTCCCCCTTTATTAACTGAATTTGTAAATGGCTCTTTTTTGAACCTGCATGATAGATTTTATTCACTGGAAGTTTATTTAGGGTTTTGTGGAGCTGGACTCATCTATGGGAATTCTGGCTGCTTGAGAGCAAGAAGTGAGGGTGACATCAGGGTCCACTCTGGTGCAATGAGGTTCCAAGCGAGCGGCAAGGTTAGAATTCTCTCTGGCCTTTAGTTTTCTGACTTTAAAAGGCAGAGGATACTGTTGTCTCACGTCATACTTTCCAACAACCTGTGAGTCGTGGACAGCAATGGAGCCAACTTACAGCGTTACTATTTTAGGAACTCACTCCTATTCCAGGAAATAATGTCCCAATCTGTATTCTATTTATTGATTTATACTTTCAAATCAAGAGCATTTCTGAGTGAATAAACTGCAACTAAAACAAAAGAGTCCAGGCTTCTGATCCAGGTCGTAGTTGACTGCATCACTCAAGACAAATCAATGCATTGGCTGCATGAATTCAAACCCCAGTGCTACCCTTTCATGGTAACACCGCTGCTCGATGATCTGACTTGCCTGTCTGAGTATCACCTACTTCTAAGGCATCTAACAAAGCAATGCTCTTGAGATGTTGACACATCCTGCTAGAGATTCCACTCAACGGCCATCCATGGCCCAGTGCTCTTCAAAGTTTCTCACCAAATCAACTGCACTGGAATTGCTGGCAGGCAGATGAAAAGTGTGTATTCCCAGGACAATAACATGCCCACTGAGTAAGAAATTTCTTGGGCAAACCAAGCAGTTTGCATTTCCCTAGCTGATTTTAACTGATGCTGAGAAATTCTTGAGTTGGAGCTTAAATGTGGAGAATGGCTGATTAGCAACTGCATGGGACCCACTTCCCTTTGGTTGTGCTTCCCTACTTGTATGAACATAAGAAAAATCTCGGGACTGGTCAAACACAATTTCCTCGACCCTCTCAGAGACCCTGACTCACTCTGGAGGTTGGGTAGGTGGCTCAGGCAGCTTCTTTTTCAACATGTTCCATAGCTGGAACATGGTCCAGGTCAGAAACACCAACTGAATGAAGACCAGGGTATTTCAAAGTTGATGTGTCAGGGGCAACTGAGGGTTTATGGACTATTTCACATTTTTTCCAGAGAAGTTCACTTGAGATATTCCATACAACTTGCCAAGCTCTGTCTTTGCCCATACATCCACCTCCCAGTGACATCATATGGGACGGTCCCTTAATGGAAACCCTGAGTTTTGCCCAGTCTTCTCAGATGACACATTCTAAATCCAGCATGATCTCACTGTTCCCCCTTCCCTATCTGGTTACTAGATTTATAGGACTGACCCAACCATTACTGATATTCTCTCAGTGAAACATATTTTAGACTCTGGCCTCACAACCACCTTTAATTAACTACTGCACTTTTGCGATTATGTTTTTAAGTTATAGATACTGTCTTCTTGACATTTCCTTGTAGAAGTGTCCTTATAGAAACTTCCTTATTCAGAGTGGATTACAATTAACTTAGGATCCTATATTGATATAAATGGGATGTGATGTTAGCAAAAAAAAAAAAAAATCTTTAATATACTAAAGAATCCCAAAATGCTTTCAACATTTGTTGGAATTTCACAACTGGATGATTTATTTGCTACTCACTGCCTGTTACAGAGGGTTAAGTCATATCTTGTGAAGCAAAGCCATATTCAAGAGAAAATGATCAATCTTGCTAAAATGTTCTGATTATGAGAGCTGACTGGCTCCCAATTAAATGAGCACACATTTCATAATTAGAGTAAGTTTCCAGCTTAGGAACTCTGGGGACCCAAGGATGAACAGTGTGGGTGTGTGGTAAGTGCATTCACATTTCAGCCTAGGAAGTCTGGTTTATTTTCCTTTTCAGCTTCCCAGATTTTGAGAAAAAAAGATTTTTATTTTTAAGATTTATTTTATTTTATGTATACAAGAAAACTGGGGTGTAGGCTAGAGGTGTGGGGGGTGAAATGATTCACCAGAGACAGTGTGGGGAGCAGAACAGGTGGATCTACTAAAATACACTGCTGAGGGGAGCAGTGGGTGAGACAGGAGAGGTCTGCTGGGCCATGTGGGTAGCTCCCTGACTGGGGATTGAACTCATGCCTCATGCTGCAGTGGCTGGTGATTAGCTTGGTAGTGCTGAGACTTTAATCCCTGTGTCATCAGGGATACCCCGAAAAAAATAAGATTTTTTGAAAAAATGAAACAATGTCAGATAATTGGAATATTTCTAAAAATTAATTTTCATAAAAAATTAATTTATATAAACAGCTTCAAAACTAAAAATCAATTGAGCATATATCTGATGATACAATATTAAAAACTCATGAGGCTTTGCTGCCTTATTTATTTGCAATTGTAAAAAGGGGGTTCCCCCCTCACTATAAAAGTGAAACATACTCATTGCAATTATATTTGGAAGATTTTGGAAAAAGATTACAGCTCTTATGTTTTCACTCTAAATAGGTGCTTTTTTACTTACCATAAAAATAAATATGCTCACTATAATGACAGTGTGAAAATTTTGAACTTCCCAAAGAGAAATTCACCCAAGATTCTTTTTTTTTTTTTTTTTTTTTTTTGTGGGACCTCGCCGGTGGCCGGAGAATGAACCTGCGTTGCAGAGGCTGCAGGCAGCCTCATAGGCCAGCGCTCAACTGCTGTGCCACCTACGGAGGCCCTCACCCAAGATTCTATCAACATTTAGGGCCATTAGTTAAGATGATCCTGCATAGAGCTTTGTGTCTTTTTTTCCCCCAAGTGATTATGAGAATTTTCTCATATTATTTAATATTTTTAACTAATTTGTTTCAAAGCCTGCATACTAGCCCAGCACCTGTATGCATCATTGTTTACTTCCTCATTCCTTCACTGTGGAACACTCAGGTCAGCGCCTGACCTGAGTATCACCTACTTTTAAGGCGTCTAACAAAGCAATGCTCTTGAGATGTTGACACATCCTGCTAGAGATTCCACTCAATGGAGTGCAAGAAATATGTTAGTACTTTGTGTGTATCTCTAATTGTTTTCTCAAAGTGAGACTTTAGTTATCTTTGTGAGAAAGTTCTCAAAAATCTGCCATTAATTCAAATAGCTTTGCCCCTACTGACATGTTCCATGAAGTGCTTTGAAAAATACCTATGAAACTGAGACTTTCTTCTGAGTCTGAAGCCATTTTATGTGACCAATGGATTAAAAATAGCTTCCATAGTGGTTGGACCAGTTTGCACTCCCACCAGCAGTGCAGGAGTGTTCCTTTTTCTCCACATCCTCGCCAACATTTGTTGTTGCTAGTTTTTTTATTATGTG